GAGAGAGAGAGAGAGAGAGAGAGAGAGAGAGAGAGAGAGAGAGAGAGAGAGAGAGATGTGTTGGAGCAGTACAAGCTACACATGCAAATTGCAAGCATAGCCTACACTGCAGCTTTGATTCTTCCCTCCTGCCCATGGAAAAATTCCTGTGGGTGCCCATAATTCAGACTCTGAGAAGCTAAGCATTCTAATGTTGTCCTTGGACTGGTGAATCTGTCCATTTTGCTTTCAGATATTATTCAACTCCCTCCAAATCTGACTTTTGTGAGATTTATTAGACTCTGTGTAGTGGAAGAATCTGGCTTGCATTGTCTCTAGGACAGTTTGGGCCAAGATTGAATATCAATTTAACTCTTGCTATACAGATTCCTGTCTCCCTACTTCCCCCCACCCCCACCCCAACCCACACATGCACACAGACACACAACCCCCATTTTTTCCTCCCTTGGTGAAGTTTCCAAAGTTTTAACTTTTAAAAGGAATAAATGCCCATTGGTTCTTTTCTCAACAGGACCAGTTTGGAGATTACATATGGTAAAGGACTGGAGAAATTGGCAAACAAGCTTGCCAAAATGCTGAATAAAATACAAGTGAAGTAAGTGATGACTATACTTTTACACTCCTTTCCTCCATCAGTGGTCTAGGACTCTCTTAGTGGGTGAAGATATATTGCCCTTGATGGTTGTTGGAGGTCCAAGTGTTTTCTCTTCTGGGTGTGACAAGAGGAAGTCTGGACATGCTGCAGTCATACATTCTGACCAAATGATATGCACTCAGAGCTCTGATGGTTGGAAAAAGTTGCTCTGCTTGCTACCCGCATTTCTTGATCTTTTCCATTTGAGAACTGCAGCAACAGCATAATAATTGGAAGCTGTTGAAGACCACCATGCAAGACGGTTGGTAATAAGGTGATTGTGGGTACCCACAGGGACGCCATAGGCTCCCCAAAATGTTTTTAAAACAACCAAAATTGTGTAGCATTACCAAATATTATGAGAATTTAGTATTCTCACCTAAAATCATCATGTGAGATTTGGCTATCTTCTGAGATATATATTTTATATTGGTGTCCATCACTGACTATTATAGTACCTTTGTGGATTAATAGTGGTCTCCAGACAACAAATGGGGAATCATTCTTCTAATTTCAGTCAATACCTTATATCAGATATGGGCAATCTCTGTTAAAAACAATTGTATTTAGGCATAGTTGAGGGCTAAGCAAGTAAAGCATTGGTGCAAAGTTAATGTGAATGGAGCCAGGATCTTTTGCAGGGAGAGGTTCAACAGAAGCTTGGGAGGGAGAATTCTCCATGTTTTCAAGAACTATGTTAAAGCCATTATAGAGCTTACATTGGAGTCTGTCTTTGTTTCCCATGCCAAAATAGGGAAAATTATACCACTATTATTCAACAGTAGCAATCAGATTGGGGAGGGGGGGAACCATGGGGTTCCTGGTCCATATATAACTTTGGGACCTCAGAATGTCCCTCCGCTCTACATGCATAATAGAATTGAAATAAAATGTTCCAATACTGAAAAAAATGGGGCAGCCCTCAGTTTAACTACACATCACTCAGGTGTCACTTTGCCTTGCAAACTATTGTCAAACATAGCCAGCCTGCTTCCCAGTGTTCAATTCTATAAAGCAATACACATCTGTAATTCATCTTATAAAGCCACTGTTGTAGAATTAGCCTGGGTCTCAGATTTCCAAAATATATCATATGAAAATGTAAACCCCAACCTAGTAAAAATGTCATACTGCCTGGGTTCTTAGGAATCATAACTCAGTCATTCAGAAGCTGAAATAAAAACCTATGTCTCCTTTTTTGTGTGGTCTTTCTTTAGCTATAGTCATAGAACTTCACTTTGTGTTTCTGAGGAGCTGAAATCTGCATCAGATTTGCACAGGTAAGTACAATCTGGTCCATTATTCAAAGTCTACCAAGGGCTGGAAGGGCTTTAAAACTTCTACAGTAAACATTTCAGTTGTATTGCTTGCTCTGAGGAGATTGCATGGGTGATATTTACAACCATTTCTGCTGTGGTTGTCTGGCAAATAATATTCTGAGAAGGCAAGTTTTCATAACATAGTTGTCTATATTTTATGTCCTGTGCCCAGAAAACTTGGCAAAGCCATTCAGACCGAAGCGATCAACCCAATGAATCGTATCCTGCAGGACCATGAAAAGAAGAAAAAAATAGTGAGTTCAAACAACCCTTGTTTTTATGATAATGTACTGCAACATTTTGCTTGTAGTATTTGGGCCTACCATGATACTGGTTAGGATCCAAGCCCGCACCACAAATTATCATCAAAATATCTCTCACTGGAAAAAACATCCTTCATTTGAAGCTCATCCATTCCCCAGGCCTGATCATGTTGCAAAGATAGCAGTATGAGCAAAAGTGAGTTTGGCCAACACTAACTAGCAGAACAACCCTAGAGACACAGACAAACAGGGAAGATTCAAGAAGGTGCATTAATAAAAGGGAAGTCATTCATGTCATCAAGAGGTAAAGGCGATAGTTCCTTTCAAATCTGGCTTTACTGCCCAGATTTGAGATGGTTCTCCCGAAAGTCATCCCAAGAAAACTGTTTCACCCTACCTCAGGATACATGTCTCTAACAAACCCAGATGGGTGATTGTCACCATAGGTGACCAGCTCTCCTTGGATCTGGTTCACAGTGGAACTGACTCCTCCTTCAAGTCCTGAATTTAAAAATATGCAAGGTGCAAAGAAGGTGACATGTGGCCTTTGGGGATGGGCTTTTAATTTCAGTGAGTGCCACGCCATTTACTGGGCAAAAGCAGGGTGACTATGCTATGCCGACTCTCTGTTCCATTCTGTCCATACTGTGGGCAAAGCATCTACCACAGAGTAGAAGCACAGGATTTCTACCTCTTAGGGTTCTAAACTGCAAATTGCTGTCTGATCTGGCAAAATGGGATTGAGGCATTACACACATTTCAAAGGTCTCTCAGGTGGAAAATCTTTCTCTCCTAAAGAAAGATGTTCTCCTGTACCCATTCTGCCCTTTGTAATCAATTTGATCTGAGGTACTATAAAATGGGCACCTTGTGAAACAAGGTACATGAAAAACCCTCAACTTGGTGATAAGGGTAAAGAGGAGTTCAGGTTGAAAATGACAGAATTGTTCTTAGGATGGTGTGCACAATAGTACATGTCAATCTGTGCAATTCTACTTTTCTCTCCTTCCCCCCTTTCCTACACATTTCACTATAAAGCTTCTGGCAACATATTTCTGCAGCAGATCTTGGGGCCGTCAGTGGGGGTGGAAGTTAAAAAAGTCAAGGTAGCCCACCCCTTTTTCATGTGGAAGACACATGTTCCTGGCAAGTCCTGCACTTAAAAAAATATGAACTGTTATTCCCTTGGATTGCCTTTGGTTTTCATTATGTACTGTGAAATAATAAGCATTTTTTTTCAAAATTAAGATTTAGATCTTACCTTCTGTTAAAAAGTCCAAAATAACTAAATGTACTGCATTATATTCCCCAAGTAATTTATCCAAATGGTATCAGTCAGTCAGTTCTAATATTAAAACTGGAAACTTAACAATGAAACAATGATTTTTTTCTTGCACAATTGCGGTGTTTCTCTCCACAAGGTAGATAATACAGTTGAGAAGGCAGCTGAAGCAGTTATCAGCAACTGGCGTCAACAGTTAAAGGCAAGTTCTTATCTTTTATTCCTGCAAAAATACATGGAAGTGACCGACCCATCAGAAATTGCTGCATTGGTTCCAGTTGCCTAAATGGAAGCTCTCTCTAGTGACTGCAAATAAGATATTGGCTGGCTGGGTTCTAATCTGAAGAGAAGGAGGGAGGTGTTTATAAGATAAGGCACATAAAAATCCACTGGGTTTTGTGTTGTTCACTACAATGCTGATGATTTGATATTCCAATATAGGAGAAATCTGCATGTTACACAAAAATTCTAATTCCAGAATTTGGTTGGCCTACAGGCTTAGTCTGAATGGCAGTGAACTTTTTGCAGCACTTGTCAGTGCAAGTATTAATTTTAATAGTTAAGAACTAGTAATCTGGAGGGTACAACTCATTTTTCTTAAAAAATGTACATTTTCTTCTACCATATGTTACATTCACTAGTATGCAATAATGAGATATTTACTATTCTCAGGGCAATGACTGATAGATCTCATCTAAATGTCATCATCAGCAAGCTAAGGATCCAGGCCAGGGATGTCCATGGGGTGTGTGTGTGTGTGTGTGTGTGTGTGTGTGTG